TTGAGTGGAAGTTCTACAACTAGAAGGAAAGAAAGAAGCACATTGAGATTGGTAGGAAGTGTGGAGGTGCAGAAGTGCAAACATATGGAGGTTACAAGTAGAAAGAAAAAAACACACTGATACTGGTAGGAGGTGCAGAGGTGCGAAAGTGCAGATGTATGGAGGTTCGCACAAAATGGACTGGCAACTGGGTGCATTGTGTTTTTTTGTTGTTGTTTTCAATTGGGAGGAAGATACAAGCTCCCAATTGCTCTGAACTCCAGTTCTGGGAGAAACTCTGGGGACCCAGACACATACCGAGAGAAAGTTACTCTGATGCACAGTGGCCACCAGGGGGCAGACGCTCAACGCAGGAGCTGCCCTCTGGTGGTCAGTGCACTCCCACAGCAGGATGCTGCTCAGTTGACGGATAGGCTCCAGAATCAGGGCTCAGTGCTGACCTCTGCAGCCCAGAGACCACAGCAGAGTGGCAGCGAGGCTACGAGCAACAGCAGCAGCAGACACAGTGGGGCGGGATGAGCAGAAGTGGCAGGTGGTGTTGGACTGCCAGTTTCAGCCCAATCCCTTCAGGCTACACTGAGGGACCCCACTAGTGCACAAATTCCTGCACCTCTAGTTTTATTTAACTGTGTGTTTTTTTGTAGTTCAGTCAATATTTGTAAGAGGATCATTCTGAATTCTTCACAGACAGTTCATAAATCTCGCTTTCTTTAGGGTTAGTTACTGGAACTTTATCACTTTCCTTGAGTGGTGTCATGTTGGCTCAGCTCTCTATTCCGGTGCCATTGTAAGCAGAGCTGTAGGTTGGGCTCTGCAGCTACCCAGGTATTCTGGTTAGGCTACATGATTTGGTAGGCCTGGAGGCTGTTTTCAGCCCTACACAGGGCTTCGAAGTTCCTTCCAAACTGGTCGTTGTAACAGGCGCCACAGTTGATATGGCTTGCTGGCTGGAAACCTGAATAAGACAAAACTGTGTGCCAACCTTCCTGGCCATATGGGGTCACCAGCTGGGTTTTGCAGAAGAGCAGAATCACTGGCTGGGTGCTCTGCTTACATACTACTGGCCTACTTAGTTTCCCAGGTGCTCTGGCCAGGTTTCTCGGTGGGGTGGGACTGAGGCTGCACTCAGCAGTAGACAGCAAAGAATTGGCTTCCCTGTCCAACTGGGCGGCATAACTGGCTCCCAAGCCAGCAAGAGTTGTCTGAGGTCTTGAATCAGGCAAAACTGCCCTGAGTTTCCTAGCCAGATGGGATCACTGTCTTGTGTTCATATTCTTAAGAAACTGTCAAGTAATTTCCACTGGCAATGTATGAATGACCCAGTGTCTCTACATCCTCTTAAGCACTTGGTGTTATCACTATTCTTCATATTAGCCATTCTAATAGATGAGTAGTGGTATTTCATTGTGGTCTTAATTTTGCAATTTCATAGATTTCTGCTCTTTACAATTCTTTCTGCATATCTTTAGTTTAATTTGCTTTTATTTTTCTTGTGATAGGAGCTTATATCATTGACTTGAGACCTTTATTCTTTTCTAAGTAGTGCTATGAATTTTTCTCTGTATTGTTTTAGCTACATCATACACATTTTGATGTTATATTTTCATTTTTATTCAGTCTAATGTGTTGTTGTTTTTTTCATTCCCTTGAGACTTTCTCTGATTCATTTATTAATTAGGAATGTTATTTTGTTCCCAAGTGTGTACAATTTTATTTTATCTTTTTCTTGTTTCTAGTTTGATTTCATTGTGGTCAAAGAACATAGACTGTGTGATTTCAGTTCTTTTAAATCATTTGAGGTTTGTTTTGTGGGTCAAGATACTGTCACTCTTGGTATATATTCCACAGTCACTTGAAAATAATGTGTATTTTGTTGTTTGGTGGAGTTTTCTATAAAAGTTTATTAGGTTGTGTTGGTTGATGGTATTATTGAGTTCTATATCACTGCTGACTTACTGACTTCTTGATTAACGTTAGAAAGAGGTATGAATTTCTAGATTTAATAGTATATTTGTCTGTTATTCTTTTCAGTTCTATTAGTTTTTGCTTCACATGTTTTGCAGCTCTTTTGTTTGGTACATACACCTTTAGGTTTTCTTCTTGGTGGATTGACATGATGCGATGTTATTCTCTGTCTCTGATAGTTTCCCTTGCTGAAGTCTACTCGATAGAGCTATACCTGTTTTCTTTTAATTAATGCTTGCATAGTCTGTCTTTTCCCATCCTTTTATTTTCAACCTACTTAAGTATATAATCCTATTTGGAACAAGTTGCTTGTAGGAAGTATAAAGTTGGTTGTTTTTTTAATCTACTCTGATAATGTCTGTCTTTTAATTGGTGCGTATAGACCATTTACACTTATTGATTTACACATATTACAATTATTGATATGTTAGTATTTAAGTCTGCATTTTTTGTGTGATTGTCACATTGATTGGTTGCCTCCCGTTCGCACAAAGGCTGGGGCCAGGGATCAAGCCTGCAACCGAGGTATGTACCCTTGACCAGGAACCAAATCCATGACCCTTTGGTCTGAGGGGCAATGCTCTAACCACTGAGCAAACCAACCAGGCCCGTACTATTCTTAATACAGTACATCAACTATCCAGTGAAACTTTATTTGTGCTGTGAAAAATAAAAGGCACTAACCACGTGTTGTGGATTCTCCAGAGAAATGAACAAATTGGAGGAAGGGAGGGAAAGAGGGAGATAGGTTGGTAGATAGATAGGTAGGTAAGTAGGTAGGTAGGTAGATTGATTTACTATAAGGATTTGGCTTACATGTTTATGAAGGTAGAGAAGTCTCAGTCAGCGAGCTGGAGACTCAGGAGAGCTGATAGTTGTGGTCTATCAGAGTCTTAGTTCAAGGAGAAGCCTAATGTTCCAACTCAAAGACAGTCAGGCAGAGAGAAATTATTCTTTCCTACCTTTCTGCTTTTGTCAGGCTTTCAGTGGATTGGGTGAGGCCCACTCACCTTAAGGAGGGCAATTTGCTTTATTCAGTCCACTGATTCAAATGATAATCTCACCCAGAAACACCCTGGTAGACACACCTAAAAACAATGGTTAGCCAAATAGTGAATTTGACACGTAAAAGTTTCCACTCTAGAGATAACTTTAGGCCTCGATTGTATTTCAGCTACAGGTCCAAAAAGGAGGAAAACCTGGTGGGCAACACCAAGACCAGCTGCAGTGACTAAGGACCCACTGCCCTGACACTGACCAATCAGTGGAGACCATGACCCTGAAGGAGCACACCTAGAAAAGTGATGAATAATCTGCTGAAACCTTTCCCTGAAACCTCCACTAAGATCCCCACCCACAAGAGAAAGATAAACACCTCAAGGCAAAGGACCCAGCTTGTGCATTCCCTGTGGGGAACAGCCCTCCATCCCCTTACCTTCTTCCCTCTCTTGGTCCCTCCAGCATCTCCTAAACCCTGTGAGACTTGCAACCAGGGGAGCAATAGGCAGCAGCAGCAGCTCCTCCCAGGCTAACCCCTGAACATGTTCCCAAGGCCCCCTTTTCTCTGCCTTCTCAGAGAGCTAAGACACCCAAGCCTAGGCCCTCCTGCTGCTGCTTCTATGCAAAGCCCTTTTAGTTTTACTGTCCCCAGCTTTAACAAATGTTCCCTCATGATTACCTGGATTCATGTTGTGAAATTTTTCCTGCACTAAGTCAAGAACCCACACACTACTGGTGGGTCCTAGGAGACCTACCAAGGGCTACATTCCCCTTTTCAGTAACAAGATGACTTCAGCCAGAGCTACCATCTGACTAACCATATGAAAACTCCCAAGCAAGAAGCTTCAGCTAATCCCACAGAACCATAAGAGATTACAAATCTTTGTCTTAAGACACTCAATTTTGGGGTGATTTGCAGAGCAGTAGGTAACCAAAACAGAAATATCCTAAGAAATCAAGGGTCTATATTTCTTTGCCTACTCTCATTCCTAGTCATCTTTTCCTTTCTGTATCCCACTTCCCTGCTTTTGGTGATGTCCACTTTCATGCTTAGGACTGAGTTTGCAGTTTGGGACAGTCACAATTTTCTGGCCTTCAACTATCCGAGATTTCTGATCTCATGTTTAAAAGGCCGTTAAAGTAATTTGTTATTTCTGCTTTCAAATAAGCCAACCTGGATCAATGCTTGCCTTTTTCTTACTTAGTAAAGTCCATAAATAGTTAATACAATTTAACACAGATTCCACCCCCATCCCAAACCCTCCTGCCCCATCAGTTGTCTTTTAAAAGTCTAAAGGCATATAACTGCTAGGAGTGTCTTGGTCATGAGTAAATAGTAAAGAACCCACTATTTACACTGGGAATTCTGCTTACTTGTGTCAGAATCAATATTTAACATCTGCTTTGTTACGAGAAGAAAATGAGTGGGCAGCCGAAACCGGTTTGGCTCAGTGGATAGAGCATCAGCCTGCGGACTGAAGGGTCTCAGGTTCGATTCCGGTCAAGGGCATGTACCTTGGTTGTGGGCACATCCCCAGTGGTGGGTGTGCAGGAGGCAGCTGATCGATGTTTCTCTCTCATCGATGTTTCTAACTCTTTGTCCCTTTCCCTTCCTCTCTGTAAACAATCAATAAAATATATATATTTAAAAAAAAAAATGAGTGGGCAGGGAGAGAGATGTGTTGGGTATATACCCAAATGCCATTATATAAATAATGGCTCTTACATAAAACAAGACTAGTCATGTAGTGAGATTCTACATAAGCTATTTATATAATTTATAAATTGTTCTGCTTTAACACACTTATACATCTTGAATTTTATCCCTTAATTATATACCTTTTATTCCAATGATCACATTTATACAAATTTAAAAGGAATTTATTTTTAAGTATCATGAAAACATGTTTAGAACAAGGACTACTATTTTGTCATTGTTCTTAATGAGCATTTTTTATAATTGATAAGTGGGCAAATTTTGATCTGGAAATTTTATTAGAACTCTACTTCAGTGATTTTTTTTTTTTCCATTTCAGTTCTAAGTCCAAATAGAAATTGGATATGGAGAATTCATATGATTTCAGTCAACGAAGCTCATGTAATGGAATTCCATCTGAGAAGACAAACAACTTACTTGTGTCAGAAGATCATGGACAGAAAATCTTGAGTGTACTACAGAATTTTAGAGAACAGAATGTCTTTTATGATTTCAAAATAATCATGACAGATGAAATAATCCCATGTCATCGTTGTGTGTTAGCAGCGTGCAGTGACTTTTTCAGGTACTGTACCTTGTGTATGCCTCAGGTTTTATGATACGGATAATAAAGTTAGCTTTTTAAACTCTCCTCAATTTTCCATCCACATCCATTCTTGAAAAGAGCTCATTAGAGCCTAGATTAACTAATTATTTTTGAGTATGAAAATTTAGGACTACCTTTTGTGATGTTTTACAGAACATTAGTCCCTTAAATGTTCATGGGAAAATTGTTTTCATCTGAAGTCATTTTATTGAGGGGATCCCTGCACTGTGCCCTTTAGAAAAAGAGGAAAGAACAGATTCATCCAAAATTTAAGCAAAGTTCAAAGAAAATGAGGCGTCGGAGAGGAAACCACATATCCGTCACGTTTTGATTGTATCAGTGGATTATTGGGAAGAGAGGGACTCCAACCCAGAGGATTTCAAGATTTCTCCTCTCGGGAACCTCTCACTATACTAGTGAGAAGTTCCTCCACAAGCATTTCTGAAGGGGACCAGCTTGTTCCAGTTTGGGCAAAATTCTGAATATAAGTTGGTTCCCATGTAGATCATCTTACAAGGAGCGTCTGAGCCGTGACACTGTAGGAACTCATTGTTTACACTGGGAACTCTGCAAGGCTTGGGGTCCAACCCATGACCCTGTGAGGCCTCTTGGTGGCATCCTGGACTTCAGCCGTCCTAGTCACTCTGCACTAAACTTAAGTCCTCGTTGCAATTTTTTACATTATGTTCAAGTTTGAAGCAATTTTTGTTTGAAGTAAACAGGTTTAAATCTGTAATAAACAAACAATGAAAGAGTAAGATTTAAGACAAAAACACAGCTTTTATTAGCTGATTGCCTAACTACACTGAGTGTTTTCTTCTGTTTTGTTTTTTCAGTTCTTTTTCAGATAACCTCTTTTTTTAAAAAAAATTTCTTTACTGATTAAGGTATTACATATGTGTCCTCAGCCAACTTCTGTTATTTTTCTTTGTACTTCCCTGGAGCCCACCAGTTTCTTCCCCTCTATCCTAATCCAGTTTTTCTTCCAAGTGGTTCTTTTCTGCCGCCTTACCCTCATGTCACCTCTTCGTCAGAGGAAGCTGTATGGTACAGTGCTTCAGCACTTGGCCTCTTAATACTCATGCCCTAAATCCAAATCCCAGCCCTGCCATTTATTAGCCAGGTGACGGTAGGTGTGGGACATGGTTGCCTTTTCATTTTTTTGAAATCACTTTCCCTTTTTTCCTAAAGTGCCTTATGAAATGTGTTTATCTGATTTGGTGGGTTTCCCCACACCGACAGATGCACTTGCAACATCTGATAACTCGCTGTATTCCATTTTCATAGGTCCCAGGACTGCCAAATCAAAAATGCATTTGAGACTTTTAAATACTGAGTGCAAAAGCATTATGTACCTTAAGTAATTTTACTTATTACCTGCAGAGTTGGTACTAATTAACCAACCCATAAATAAATAAATTCAGCCATAAGAGAGAGATTTTATGAATAATACATAAGAACATCAAATCAGTGCACAAAATTTGAATCTTTTTATAGCTTTCTTTGGATTAGTTGCTGTAGTTCAGTTGTAATGAATATTTTGCAGTATGGGGATTATGTAATACATATATGTTATAGATAAATAGTATTGTATGTAACTATTCAAGATTTTAAACTAATTTGTTAGGATGCTTCGAGATACACATTATAAATATATTTTAAATCAACTTAAGGGTGAAGGAAATCTTTTCAAGGTAATACTGAAAATTTTCACGGAATAGATTATTTCTGTGTACTTCTTCTATGTTCTTTATTTTTGCAGGGCTATGTTCGAAGTGAACATGAAAGAAAGAGATGGTGGGAGTGTTACCATCACCAATTTGTCCTCGGAAGCGGTGAAAGCCTTCCTTGATTACGCCTACACCGGAAAAGCACAGATCACAGGGGAGAACGTGGAGATGTTCTTCCAGGTGTCAGCGTTTCTGCAAGTCCCCTTCCTGTCCAAAGCCTGCAGTGACTTCTTAATAAAGAGCATTAACATTGTCAATTGTTTGCAGTTATTATCTATCTCAGATAGCTACGGCTCACCCCGTTTGTTTGATCACGCGTTATACTTTGTACAGCATCACTTTTCCTTGTTATTTAAGTCCAGTGATTTCTTAGAGATGAGTTTTGGAGTCGTGCAGAAATGTCTGGAATCGGATGAATTAGATGTCCCTGAAGAAGAAACTGTCCTGAAAGTTGTCCTCAATTGGACCAAATATAACCTAGAAGCGAGGCAAAAGCACCTGCCTTATTTGATTAAACAAGTCAGATTGCATCAGTTACCCGAGGAGACACTTCAAGACTGTCTGCTCAGCGAAGAGCGTTTACTCAGAAGCACCAACTGCTTTGACATAGTCCTGGATGCCGTGAAGAGCGTGCAAGGTTCCGGCGGCCTTTTCCCTGATGCGCGGCCCTCCACCACCGAGAAGTACATATTCGTCCACAAAACCGAGGAAAACGGCGAGAATCAGCACACGTTTTGCTATAACATTAAAACCGACTCATGGAAAATACTGCCACAGTCCCACCTGGTTGACTTGCCGGGATCTAGCCTGGCAAGCTACGGGGAGAAAATATTCCTGACGGGCGGCTGCAAGGGGCCGTGCTGTCGGACGGTGCGGCTCCACATCGCGGAGTCCTACCACGACGCCACCGACCAGACCTGGTGCTACTGCCCCGCCAAAAACGACTTCTTCCCCGTGTCCACCATGAAGACGCCCAGGACCATGCACGCCTCGGTGATGGCTCTGCACAGGCTGTTTGTCATAGGCGGGAAGACCAGGGGATCTCAGGACACCAGAAGCCTCTTAGATGTGGAGTCTTACAACCCCCTTTCCAAAGAGTGGGCGTCCGTCAGCCCGCTGCCCAGGGGCATCTACTACCCCGAGGCGAGCGCCTGCCACAGTGTCATTTACGTCCTGGGGTCCGAGGTGGAGATCACAGACGCCTTCAACCCGTCCCTCGATTGCTTTTTCAGATACAACGCGGCGACCGACCAGTGGTCGGAATTAGTGGCGGAGTTTGGGCAGTTTTTCCATGCCACGCTCATCAAAGCCGTCCCGGTGAACTGCACGCTGTACATATGCGACCTTTCCACCTACAAGGTGTACAGCTTCTGCCCCGATACCTGCGTCTGGAAGGGGGAAGGGTCTTTTGAATGCGCGGGCTTCAATGCCGGCGCGGTGGGAATCGAAGATAAGATTTACATCCTGGGCGGGGATTACGCCCCCGATGAGATCACCGACGAGGTGCAGGTCTACCACAGCAGCAGGTCCGAGTGGGAGGAGGTGGCGCCCATGCCCAGGGCCCTAACGGAGTTTTACTGCCAGGTGATCCAGTTCAACAAGTACCGGGACCCCTGGCTTTCTAACCATTTCTGAAAGCAGCGTGTGCTCAGGCATTGCAAAACCATTCCGGTTCTAGAAACCTAAGGGGAGGTTTGTTAGGTAACAGTTGGTAGAAAAGGCCTTTACATCCGTAAATTAACATTTACCTTCTACTAGAGAATCCCTATGAATGTGCACTATGTAAGAATTAGCAGTTCCCAGAAACTTAACATATAAAATGCGTTTTACCAAAAATTATACTGAATATAATTTAATCTTGGAGAATCCAGAATACTTGTATTTCCTTCTGTAAATAGAACTCATAGGCTTGAATGTTTTAATTTTTAACAATGAAATACAAAAACAAACCAAATAGTAAAAACAAATCAAAGTTCACAGGTTTGTACTATGTAAATGGGAGAAATCTCTTTAGGCAGTAAAAATGAATTATGTAAACTATATTTTATGAAGTGAAAAGTAATTTAAAAGGTGAGAATCCTACCCTGTTACTACAGGTTTAAGAGTTGTTGAATTCCTACCCTTTCTGATCAGAGTTAGCTTCTTTCAAGAACTTTTTTCTTTCGCCATTATTTGGTCAGAAATTTTTCTAAAATGCATTGTGTTAATCCCAGCATCCTAAGCTGTACACTAAACATGAACATTTTTTATAATTCAACTTTTTTCATGACTCAACTCCTCATTAAGAGCATAATGTACCATATTATACTTTCATAATGCTACCAGCAGTTACTGAAATGTTTTTAAAATTGCTATTCTTATTAGCTCTCAGTGTTAGTTGGCTTTGATGTCTAGCAGTATAATAGCTCCCTTATTTTCTGGCTCAAGCTCGGTAAATTAACATTCTTGATTTAATTATTAGTTCTAAGTTACACTGACCTGAGTGTACTTAACATGTAACCCATTTGAGTGAAGTTCTCGGATTCTTGGATGGAAATGCTGAGATACTTTTTCTGTATCACTGCCAGGTTCCAACATAATTGAGGACCTCTGGCTAAGTGAATTATCATCATTGCATTGGGCTTAAACTATTAAATGTCCAACTTCATGTTGTGAATAGGAATTTCAGCATTTTAATTAGTACCATATGAATTTCCTGTGATGATATCCAAGTGCAAAGCACCATGTTGGTTTATTACTTTAGCAAATTATTCATAGGGAATTATGTTCTAAATTTAGAACAAAATTTAAATTTAGAAAATGTTGGTATTGATAGTAGAATTCACAACCAACATCTGTTTAGATGTTCAATTACCCATAACCCAAACAGTGGAAGAGTATTAATCATCCTTGTTCTCAGCTAGGATGATTCTGGCTTTGCAAAAGGATATGTTTCTTTAATCAGTTTAAAAGATAGAAGTATTTTATGTTTTAAGACCCCCTGTTTTCATCTCAGGCAATGTGTAGATTGGATTTCTCAAATGTAGTTCCCCTACTCTGTAGTAAATGTTAATCTGTTGTAAATCTCCATATCCTTTAGAAGTATGTTCTAAAGTGGGAATATACCTAAGTGAAGGTTCTTTTATTTTATCATATAAAAGTATACAATCATAAGTTCAAATGTATTTTTCAAAATACAATAGGATATTAGAACACATTATCATGCAATTACAAAATCAGGGGCTTGCCCTAATCTAGGGGTGTCGAACTCAATCAGAGAAGGGGCCAAAATCTAAAATCCAGCCTAAATCTCGGGCCAATGGTTTACTGAACAGTCATAAACTGTCATTGTGATGGAAACGCAGCAGAGTGCAGTGATGACAGCACAGTGCGGGCCACATTGCAAGGCCTGGCGGGACGGATTTGGCCCGCGGGCCTTGTGTTTGACACATGTGCATATCAGATAGGAAGTATTCTATAGAATTGGTGGCCTTCTTCCCTGCTCCACCCTTTCCCTTCCCTTCCCTTCCCTTCCCTTCCCTTCCCTTCCCTTCCCTTCCCTTCCCTTCCCTTCCCTTCCCTTCCCTTCCCTTCCCTTCCCTTCCCTTCCCTTCCCTTCCCTTCCCTTCCTTTCCCCTTCCCTTCCCTTTCCCTTCCCTTCCCTTTCCCTTCCCTTTTCCTTCCTTTCCCTTCCCTTCCCCTTCCCTTCCCTTCCCTTCCCTTCCCTTCCCTTTCCCTTCCCTTTCCCTTCCTTTTCCTTCCCTTTCCCCTTTCCCTTCCCTCTTTCAATTCTTTCTCCTCCTCCTCCTCCTCCTCCTCCTCCTCCTCCTCCTCCTCCTCCTCCTCTTCTTCTTCTTCTTTTCTCTCTCTCTCTCTCTCTCTCTCTCTCTCTCTCTCTCTCTCTCTCTCTCTCTCTCTCTCTCTCTCTCCCCCCCCCCCCCCCACTTTGAAACAGAATTCAGCCCATAACAGTGGGTGGCCTATATGTATGTGGATTCACTGAACTCTATCACTGTTCTCATTGCCCTTTGATTAATGTTTCTGGAAATAGCCTTGTAATCCAGGCCTGGGTGGCTTCCTCTGTATTTGGTATAATATATTTAATATTTTCTAATGCACAAGGCTTCCTGCCTTAGTTTCTATAATTGCTACAGATTACTTAATCATTTTTCCTTATTGCCATCCCTTTACATCTGTACCTGAGTGCTCTTCATCATTTATATCTGCCAGAAAAGCACTCTCCCTAGTCACAAATCCCTAACTCTTCCTTTACTCTTCCTTTTCTTTGGCACCATTGTAACCTGTGCTAGGCTTGTCCCTGTTAGTACAGTAGTTGATACTGTTCTAATTCTGTTCCTTCTTATAAGATAGCACTTTAATTTGATCTATCTGGTCTGTGTATTCAAAAATCCTCAAGAACCCAACCACACAGACACATGGTCAGTGACTGAACTGGTTATATTTTTCTCATCTTGTCAATCACTGGCTTCACTGTCCAAGAACTAATTATATATATATATATATATATATATATATATATATATATATATATATATGTATATATATATATATATATGTATATGTATATAAATTCAGATCTCATTCTTCATTCTGGATCTCTGATGTGCAAGTTTCAGTGATCTCTTGTCTATGCAGTATCCCCAGAGGAAGCTACTTTTCCTGCCTATAAGATTAGGGAAGAGGGAATAATATTATTTTATCGGTGACCTCTTTTTAAGTATTTTTTTCCCCTCCAAGTCTGATTTTCTTTCATTATCATTTTTCAGCCACTGCAGCAGTATAAGAGACAGAACGTGCTCATTATCCAGATTGCTTTCAATCTTGTGGAAGAACTCTACTTAACATTTTTAATCCTTTAGCAATTTCTCTTGCTCCACTACATTTGGATTATGCACACAAAAATTGCTGATATTGTAATATCTTCTAAAATTAAAAGTAGGTATATGGCATTATTAAATATAAAGAAGATTGGATTTAACATTTTTTAAAATAAATTCAAAGTTAATGGATATTCCTAGAATGATCTTCAAACTTGATTTAAAATGTGGAGCACCTTCTGTTCATCTGTTGCCTGGGAGATGGAACAGATGAAGAATATTTGAATAATCAAAATTATCTGTATTCCCGTAACACTCAACTCTAGTTTGGGGATGGAAAGAGGTCTTTATCACCACATCCTGCAACATAATTCCATTTTTCCCAGATACCAAGAGGAGCAATTGAGTATATGTTCAGTTCAAGTTACATGATTTGGGAATCGGAATCAAGTATAGAGGGAAGCATTTGTTTGCATTTTGAGACATAGAAGCAATAAATATAATGTAATGATTAAATATATTGTTGACTATATAATGTTACTTTTAGATAACCATTCGCAGTTTAGTTGGATCTGGTGTTTGGAATACCTTTTCTCATATTTAGAATAGAATCTGTAAGACTCAAAAATGGCTCCCAATAGGCAGCTTTAGAGGGCAACCTAAAAACGAAGGCTAGAATTTGTAGGGAAGTAGATTTCTGTTCAACATAAGAAAAAACTTTACTCCAAATTGTAAAGCCATATTTGTAATAAGACAAATGATCAAAGACTGAAGCAGGTGGCACACGATCAGTCCAATAAATTCCTACATGGGAATGCACAACCAAAGATTTCTATATTCTATTTACATACACCTTTTTATCTTAATAGTTTTCTGACATGTGACTAATTGCTTTTTCCTCCAATTTATTCAAGATTTTTATAACGATTTCAATGGTTCTCCATTACTTAAGATTTAAATAGGATTTGAGTCTTAAAACTACATCATTTCAAGAGCATTTCTATGAAAGAAAATTTGTTCTGTGTTTTTTAATTAACTCAGGAAAAAGTCTGCAAATGGTGCTGACATATTATAGTAAGCTGCTAATAAGGATTTTTCCTTCTGCCTACATAGGTGCACATTTGTTTTATATAAATAGAAACTGAAAGACCAGTACCTAACATTTTCTTCTGAATTATTGCTCTTATTTTGCTGCTAATATATCTATATATTTAAATGCAGTGATTCTTTAACAAGAATCACTTGTGTGATTTAAGAGAAATCTTTATATCTTAAAAATGTAGATGTATTTATAAAAAATATTTGATGGCATTATGATGCTTAATCAAATTTAATATCTAAGTAGGGGATATAATCAGAGGATGGTGTTATTACATCAGAAGACAACTATTCTAAACCATATTGAAACTTCAAAATAACGTTAGCATTTAATACAGCTTTCCACCTGTTATAGAAAGCCCCTCTAAATTTTAAAACATCTTTGAAGGATGATTTTTTAAAATTTCTAAGTTAGTGCTTTCAGTGGTAAAGAGCTCACCACCTCCATTTTTGAGCAATTCTGTTGGAAAGTTCTTCCTGACATTAAAAGCAATTCTGCCTCCTGGTAATAATTTCCCACCATTGGTCCTAGGTTGCTGTCTCCATAAGTGTCCCACTTCTCTAAGACCAAAGCATCATTTTCCTTCTTATTTAAATGTTTAGCACTTCAAAACCTGCCACAATGGCCAGGATGGCATGCTTCTCCTTGTACAATTGCCTCTATTTGGTGGGTTGCACCTGACCAGCATTGCAGAAACTCTTGATAATAATCAGGCATCTCTGTAATTCCTACCATTCCAATTTGTACTGGAGCTTCTCTCTCTCTCTCTCTCTCTCTCTCTCTCTCTCTCTCTCTCTCTCTCTCTCTCTCTCTCTCTCTCTCCTCTCTCCTCTCTCCTCTCTCCTC